TGCCCGGGCTAGAGTGCCGTGGCGTCAGCCTAGCTCACAGCAACCTCAAACTCCTGGGCTCAAGCGATCCTCCTGCCTCAGCCTCCTGAGTAGCTGGGACTACAGGCATGCGCTGCCATGCCCGGCTAATTTTTTCTATGTATTTTTAGCTGTCCAGATAATTTCCTTCTATTTTTAGTAGAGACGGGGTCTCGCCCTTGCTCAGGCTGGTTTCGAACTCCTGAGCTCAAACGATCCGCCCGCCTCGGCCTCCCAGAGAGCTAGGATTACAGGCGTGAGCCGCTGCACCCGGCCTCAGCTGTTCTATAAATCTAAAAATATCCCAAAATAGAATATTTACTTTTTTTTTTTTTGAGACAGAGTCTCACTATGTTGTCCCGGGCTAGAGTGCCGTGGCATCAGTCTAGTTGACAGCAACCTCAAGCTCTTGGGCTCAAGAGATCCTCTTGCCTCAGCCTCCCGAGTAGCTGGGACTACGGGCATGCACCACCATGCCCGGCTAATTATTTTTTCTATATATTTTTAGTTGTCCAGCTAATTTCCTTCTATTTTTAGTAGAAACAGGGTCTCACTCTTGCTCAGGCTGGTCTTGAACTCCTGAGCTCAAACAATCCACCCGCCTCCACCTCCCAGAGTGCTAGGATTACAGGCGTGAGCCACCACGCCCGGCCAAAATATTTACTTTTAAGTAAACACAAACACATAACGCCAGCATTTTCTGGTGTTCACATTATGCCAGACACTTTACCTACCGACACTGTCACATTTAATTCTCACAACAATCCTAGGAGAAGGATTTACAATTTTCTTATGGAGAAGGTAAATAATGTATTCGGAGTCATCCATCCTGCAAGTGGTAAGGCTGGGATTTGAACCCAGGTCAAGCCAATCACACAGCTCCTGTCCAATCTGGACTTCACTCCCCGCCCCCCACAGGTTTGGTAATGCAAATAACTACATGAGGACATAAAGGACATTTTGATACTGCAATGGTAAACATTAATCAAATGAAATGTAATTGATAATACCTGTTGTTTACATTATAAACCTGTGAACAGCAAGATAAGGGTTGTAAATGTCTGCTAAATACCCGAACAACTTTGCAAAAGAAAAAAATACCATCAGTTTACATGATGGACTATTTCTGTCCTACTAAATTTACTCAATCCTTTTCAGGGCACATAAATGACCACATAACTTTAATCAGTATGTACGCATTATTCTAGGTCCTACTTTTTTACTGAGCATGATTTAATACAGCTGTTTACAAGTGGCCATTTAGTTCCCATAATTACCATTTGAACAGCTGTATAGCTGGACATGAAATAGACTATGGTTCACCTGTTTCCCCGGTGTGGGGTACTGGGGCTGTTTCCAGTCTGTGGTTGATCTAAAAGTGCTGCTACCTTTGCACACATTGCTTCGGGGCTATTTTTAGCAAGGGCATTTGTGGGAAGGACATGAAGGAAAAGTGCCTGGAATGTTAACTTCTCCTTGGACAGGTGCGCTTTTTTGAAGAATTGGCTCTTGGTATTTTGCAGTGTGTAAATAACACAGTTACTGGTAGCTGGATGATGTTAGGTAAGTTCCCTCACCGCTCTGCACCCTGGACTCTAGCACTGGCTGGGAGCTTGTAGAATTACAGGATCTTGAGCCCCTTTTAGAGCCTAGTGAGTCAGAATCTGCATTTTAACAAGATCCTGGTGGAGGCATTCACGGGCACATTAAAAGTTGGAGAAATCGTGCCTTAGAGTGCCTACCTGTCAAATAGGAATCAGAAAGATCGTCGTGAAGACAATGCATGTGTGTATGTGTTTGCGTGTGTGTGTGTGTGTGTGTGTGTGTGTGTGTGTGTGTGTGTGTAGAAGAGCGTCAGGCACATAGAACACTACGCGTTTGCTATTGTACTTTTGTGACTCTCCCCAGCCAGTTGAATAAATCCTCAGGCTGGCACTCCCTAAGCAGAGTGTCTTAAAGGAAACAAATAGGGGAGATTTCCCTGTAGTGGTGTGCGCAGGGGGTGGGGGAAATGTCTGGAATCACACTCTGTTATCCATCATAATCAAAGTCCCCAAAGAGCCAGCCCCACGTTGCTGATGAGTGAGTCTGAAAGTGCTTGGGTAGGAACCGGGACAGGGTGGTAGCCAGGTACGACCTGATTCGGCAGCACCTGAGCGGCCACTCAGATAGGGATGGCCCACTGGTGCCGTCTACAGAAGAGCTTGTACATGATGCACGTGAAGTCCTGACCCCACAGAGAGGAGTCCCTCAGATTTGGAACCTGACCATGAGGTGGCACCTGCCCAGACCTCCGCGGAGGGCAGGACCCACCTCTCCTGCCCTGAGGCAGCTTGTGGCTGAAAGACCTGGGATTGTGCAGCTGCAATGTCAGAGGCAAAGAAAGGAACATCTTCCCAAATCCTCTGCTTGGTAACACTGTATTCTTCCTTCAGCGCCCTGTGTTTTCTTTTTGATTCTATTAACCTCAGTTAAATAAACCATTTTCTGTTTTTCCACCATTCAAGTGACTTAGCTGGTTTTGGAATCTTCAGGACACATTAGCTCACTCTCTTCATGACACATTATATCAGGCATCTCAAACTCAAATGTCTCCAGGGACCAGCAGGTAACATAAATACATGAAGGTGGCTGGGGCAAGACAGTTGAGTGTGGTGGGGACTGCGGCAACTTGCAGGCACTATGTAAAGGGGCCAACTGTTACTCAGTTCCAGGCAACTGTCATGCAGGACTATGAGCCCAGTGCGACCAGATCTTTCCATTTTTTTTTTTTTTTTTTTCGAGACAGTCTCGCTCTGTTGCCTGGGCTAGAGTACTATGGTGTCAGCCTAGCTCACAGCAGCCTCAAACTCCTGGGCTCAGCAATCCTCCTGCCTGAGCCTCCTGAGTAGCTGGGATTATAGATGCATACCACCATGCCCGGCTAATTTTTCTATTTTTAGTAGAAACGGGGTCTCACTGTTGATCAGGCTGGTCTCGAGCTCCTGACCTCAAGCGATCCTCCCACCTTGGTCTCCCAAAGTGCTAAGATTACAAGCATGAGCCACCACACCTGGCCTGATTTATTAATTAATAGAGTATGGTTTAGGAGTCAGAGATGAGAACTTTAATTCAAAGTGAGCCATTAATTAGTTGAGAATGTTGGGTAAGTCATACCTCTCTTCAGACCTCAATTAAGAATTGCAGGCCGGGCGCAGTGGCTCACGCCTGTAATCCTGGTGCTCTGGGAGGCCGAGGCAGGTGGATCGCTCAAGGTCAGGAGTTCGAGACCAGCCTGAATAAGAGTGAGGACCCCCCCCGAGTAGCTGGGACTACAGGCATGTGCCACCATGCCCGGCTAATTTTTTCTATATATTTTTAGTCGTCCAGATCATTTCTTTCTATTTTTTTAGTAGAGACAGGGGTCTTGCTCTTGCTCAGGCTGGTCTCGAACTCCTGAGTTCAAATAGTCCGCCCGCCTTGGCCTAATCAGAGTGTTAGGATTACTGGCGTGAGCCACCGCACCTGGCCTGAAGTTGAGAACTTCTGCAGCAGACGATCTTTAAAGTTCATTCCTCCAACAAATATTTCTTGAGGGCCTACTATGTGCCAAGCTCTGGGAATCCAACAATGACTAAGACACGGACAAGTTCTCTGAGATCTCATGGAGATTATATTCCCATGGAAGGAAACAACCCTCCAACATGGGAACAATGACATATGGTGGTACCTGTATGAAGGAAATAACACAGGTGAGACAGAAGTGGCTGGGAGGAGGTGTGGACCTCAGGTGTTCAGAAGGGCCTTTTTCCAGGGACAGTGTTATGGGTTGAACTGCATTCCCCCAAAAGACATGGTGACCTTGGAATGTGATCTTATTTGGAAATAGGGTCTTTGCAGATATAATCAGTTACGTTGAGATGAAGTCACACCAGAAAAAGGTGTGTTTGTAAGAGAGGACACACAAAGACATGCATGCAAGGAAGAAGACATGAGACAAGAAAGAGATGGGAGTGACACAGCAGCGAGCCAAGGAACGCCAAGGATTGATGGCCACCACCATTGAGCTATGAAGAGGCAAGGAAGGATTCGACCTGCAGTCTCAAAAGAAGCAAGGCCCTGCTCATACTTTGCTCTCAGATTACCAGACTCCAGAAATCTAGAGATGTGAGAGAATACGTTTCTATTGTTTAATCCACTCAGTTTGTGGTTACGGTAGCCCTAGGAAACGAACACAGGTGTCATCTGAACCCAGGCTTGAGTGATGAGAAAAAGGCAACCGTATGAAGATTCAGAGGGAAGAATGTTCCATGCAAGGTCAGGAAAAGAGCAGGCAATGGCTGGAGAGTACGGATCCAGGGCGCCGAGAGAGGAGGTGTGACTGGAAATCCAGGCAGGGGCAGATCTTGGAGGACTTTGCAGAGGAGGGGAGAGAATTAGATTCAATTAGCTTGGAGGCGGTCGTGTCACACGAGAGACAAAAACAGCTGTCATGAGAGTCGCCCAGTCATAGAGAGCAGGAATTTCGGATGCGTTAGTTGCAGTACATAATAATGACATGTGAGATGACAGGGCCCTCTCCGCGCTGCGCCGCCCTGCCCCCGACCATGCTGGACGGTCGATGTCAGCTCCAGCTTTCTGGGGCGTTGGCTCTGGCTCCGGTGGGGCGATGTTTAGGGATGGGTGAGCTCTCACCTCCCCCAAATCTACTTTCTCCCCACCAACCCCAGACACTACCAACACCCACAATCTAAGTAAAATAAGCTCTGCAAATGCAGCCTGCAGACCAGCCCCCCAGCCCCTCCCAGAAGAGAGAGATTCTGGAGGCCCACAGGCACTCCCAAGGGGGCAGCGACAGACCCTGGCAAGACCTTCAAGCCTGCACAGCCCAGGCCATGCGCGCAGCGCGCGGGGGCGGACCCGGGGCGCGTGCGCATGCGCGGGCCCCGCCTGCCCGGCGAGCGGGTGGGGCGGGTGCCGGGCGGGGTCGTGACGTCAGGTGCGCGCGTGGCTCCGGCTGCGCAGGAACAGCTGGTGCCTCGGAGGGCGGCCGGCGAGCGGGCGGGAGTGGGGTGCGGGTGGCCGGCCGGGCCGCGCTGCACGAGCAGCCGCCGCCGCCGCCGCCTTGCACCATTGCACCATGTCCGGGCCGCTGGAGTGCTGCGAGCGCGAGTGGCACGAGCTGGAGGGAGAATTTCAGGAATTGCAGGTAGGGCCAGGCCACCTGGTCCCGCAACTCTGCTGACCGCGGCGCAGTGCCTTCCCCTTCCTGCTCCCCAGGCCTGGGAGGTGGGGACAGTCAGGACCCAGGCAGTGTCCCTGGGTAGGCCCTGGGGGCTGGTGGTCGGCGTGCACCAGCCGCCTCCCACCTCCCAGCGCTTCAGTTCTTCGTCCACATGGGGCGCCCGGTCGAAGCCCCCCATTACCCCGCCTTCTTTCCGGCTCTGCTCCTCGCACCTGCTTCGCTGCAGAAAGTTGGCATGTGGCCTCTGAAGCAAGTTCCAGGCGTGTCCATGTGGGGGAGACCCCAGCGGGGTGGTAGGTGCTGGGGCTCCAAGAGAACAGCCCAGCCCCCAGCTCTGCGGGAGTCTCCTCTAGCCCTACGCCCACCCGTCTGCTTTTGGCAGCCACACTCTCCCTCTGCTCTGGCAGAGCAGCCCTCTCCTGCAGCTCCATTTTGGGAGATGTACTTAGGAGCCATTCACCTTGAACCTCTAGGTTGTGCTTGGGGATTAGGGACCCCTATTTCCTGTCTTTGGGGGCTCTCCTGGTGTGCCCGCCTCTGTGGCGCTGCTGCAGGCTGAGTTTGGCGTTGTGGATGGCCTCCGTCAGTTCTGACAGCTGGGTGGCCTCACCCGGTGATAGAGGCTGCTCCCAGCCCTACCCCTCTGGCCCAGAGCCTATACAGGGTGGGGTGAGGGTGGATGTAAGGGAGGTCCTTTGAGAGAATGGCATTGCCACCACGGGTCCTGGCAGGAGAAGTTGTTCCTGATAGGCGGTTCAGAGAGGCTTCAGCTACCTACCCTGGTGACTAGAGATGCCTCAAGAAACCTTGGGGTTGACCAGGAGGGACTCAGGGACCATTTTTGGAGATGGGGCTGCTCCCTCTCCAGCCATGGGATTGTTTGTTCTCTTGGGGTTTGGGCTCTGTTTGCCTGAAACCACATGGCACACCCCCACCCCAGTCCTCTCCTTGCCTCAGTTGGAGCAGTGATATTTCCCTGTCCATGTAGCTCTTATCTGCTCTCAGTTGGCCTCCTACAGTGTCCAGAGGATGTTGCCAAGGCTTTCTCTGGTGAATCTTTCTAGATAAGCAGCTATGGGTTCTGATGAATAGTGGGGTGTGGGAGAGACTGGGCAGGAAGGGGGTGCTGTTTCAGGCATGAATGAGCAGAGGATAAGATACCCAGAAGTGTCATCCCTTTTGTGGCCTGTCCAGTGTGTGCGGGTTGGTGCCCTCTCCTTCGGGACCCACTCAGTTCCCACGGGGTTCCCTTTCATGGAGATGGCTGAGCCACTTCTTCATGCTTTGTCCTACTGGGCTCTGAGGTCACATTCAACTGTGGAGCCACAAAGTGGGTGTTAGGGTTGGGAGTGGGAGAAGGGAAGAGCTTTGCTGTGTGGAGCTTTTGTTGTTCATCGTTCCTTTCCCTTGTCCTGCGTTGGAGGAAGAGGAGGAGAGAGAGGAATCTTAACACTTCAGAGCTATGCAATTAATGCAATTAACAGCAATTAGATAGCAAGTCTTGGCAGGCAAGGGTTGCAGAGTAGTTGTTTGATTTGTTTTGTTCTTACGTGTTTCGGATGCTCAGGTGTGTTAGTGACGGAGGAACTGGGAACTGGATCTCGTCCCCTAGTGCATAGCAAGAGTTGAGGAAGGTATGACTCGGTGGAAGTTGATGTCCCCTGCCCAGTTCTGTAGGATGAGGGAATTGGAGTGGACTGGATACACTTTGGGGAAGGGGGACCCTGCTGGCTGCAGACTTCAGTGGCCAGCTGCTGGGTCAGAGGCCAGTGATAGATGGCCTCCCAGGGGTCAAGGTCATAGGCTGGAGCAAAAACCACCATCTACATCTTTAATTCACAGATAGGAAACTGAAGCTTGGACACGTTTCAGTCCAACACAACTATTTAGTGGTAAAGTTGGGGCTAGAACTTGGTTCTCTAAATGTCTCTGCCTTCTCACCCTCCCCCTCATATTAAATGTGAGAGGTCTGAGCTCCTGAGATGAAGGTCTCTGGAATTATGCACATAATAAGTAGGATGTATGGTGGAAATGCGTTGAACAGAGTTTCCGATACGAGGTATTTGTTGGGGAATAAGGAGGTAACAGCAGATAAGTAGGTGGCACATTGGAACTAGGAAGGGTTTTTCCCCCCCCACTGGAAAATCCTGCTCTATTTTAATTTCCCTGTGTCTGCCTTAGAATCTGGTATTTGTGAGTTTCGTGTTTATGTTCTTTGGTTCGGGGGTGATGTGTAATATCTTTGTGTTTTACCTCTTTCCCTTTTTATGCGAAAGAAAGAAAGAGGAAACCTAAGTCTTAGACTCTAGAGGATTTGAAAGGTCTTTGGAATTTCCCCCCGGTCCCCCCTACCAAAAAAAACCCCAACATAATCTCTGGGACTTTCTAGAGGAAAGGAGCAGTTTTCTTCAGACCATGATTTGCATCTGTCAGGGCCTTACTGAACTCTGGGGCACAGCTGAGTCGCATGAAGACTTAGCTTCTGGGTGGTCGGGGTTTTGACCCTGCTGGGGAATTGAGTGTTAGTCTGAAACCAGCGTGCGCCTGGCCTCCTGGCCTGTGGTGTGACCACAGAAGGTCACTTACAGACACCGTGGCAAGTAATTTAATGAGCATTTCCTGTCTTGCATCACTGGAAACCTGACCTTGTCCCTCCCAGCCCAAGAAGGAGGTGGCCTGTAGCGGCTTTTCCGTAAGCCTGTTCTCACGGGGATATAGAAGTCTTGTAGACCAGTGAAATGTGCATGCCTCTGGCTGCTGCGCGTGGACACCAGGGAGGCAGGCTGACAGCAGGAAGCTCAGCATCATTTCATGAACACCCCTGTGAAACAGATCCTGTTGTCTCTATGTTACCCAAGGTCACACCACCTGGAAGTGCTCGAGCCAGGACTCAAACGCAGGCTGCTGGACACCGGAGTTTGTGCTCTTAACCACTACCCAGGGCAAATCCGAGCCTGGGGTATTCTTCTGTTGGCTTTTGTTTCTCTTCCATCTCGGCTTGCCTTGTGGGCCTCCTTCTTTAGTAGCGGGGGTTGTGCAGTAAAAACACTGGACAGAGAGTCAGGATTCCTGGGTTCGGGAATCCTGTCACTGTCTAGTCTTTGCCAAGCCATCTCTCTGAGGTCGAGTTTCTTTATCTAGAAAACAAAGGCTGGCAGTCACAACAACAACAGCAGCAGCAGCAGCTAACCATGTGATTACATGTATGTGATACAGGGATACATGGATAATCCCGTTTAATCTAAGTGACAACCCTGTTTTGTAGATGAGATTGAAACTAAGAGATGTTAAGTAACTTGAAAGTCATGGAACTAGGCTTTGAACCCAGCCCTGCTGTATAACTCAGAGACTTGTTGGGTCCCTGGATTTTAGTGGGCTCCAAAAGTATCCTGAGAACCTTAGCTCTAGAAGAAAACTTTTGAACTTGCTGAATCTCTTTTCATTGGTATAGTGCTTTCACACAATGCATTAGTCAGGATTCTTAGTTGTAAGTGACAGAAACCCAGTTTGATTGGTTTTAAGCCAAAAAGGGGGTTTATTGACTCAAGTCCAGTGGTAAATGGCTTCAGGCAAGGCTGGGTCCAGGAGCTCAAATGATATGTGTGTGCGTGTATGCCAGCTTCATTCTCAGGCAGTCTCTCCTATGTCGTGACAAAAAGGGCCACTGGCAGCCCCCTGCTGACATCCACTAGCTTAGCAGCTTAGCAAACTCAGCAGAAACAACATCTTTTCCCCCTGTGGTTTCACCAAGAGTCCCAGGGCTGACTCTCATTGGCCCAGCTTGGGTCATGTGATTATCCCTTAACCAGTCACTGTGGCAAAGATTGGCCTGGCCTTGGTAATGTGTCTGCTCCTGGAAGCATAGTGCTACCCACATTACATAAAATAAGGGAAGGGATGGTCCCACGGAGGAAAATCAAAATACTGGTAGTAAAAAAAAAAAGAGAGAGGGATGCTAGCCAGGCATCTTTTGGGGGGTGAGTAATGGAAATTGTTTATATCTGTGATTCCCAAACTATGTACCAGGGCACCCCCAAGGTGCTACAGTAAGCTCATAGAGACATTATGGGATAAGTTAAATTTTCAAGGGAAACATAGTGACATCTGTCAGACATTGCTTAAACTGCTGTCTTGTGGGCAGTTCACAGTTGCACATTAGGCCACACTACTTTCTTTTTGATGATGTCACATCTTTGTAACGGTGCATAGCCTGTTGCACGTATCTCATCTCCTACCCCTTTTACAGTTGAGGAAACTGAGGCATAGAGAGATTATATAACTCAGCTAATAACTAAGTGGCAGACTTCAGATTTGAGCTCAGGCAGTCTGACTACAGAATCTAATCACTTAACCATTATGTTATCCTTCATCCAAATGCCTGACGCCCGCGCATATACCCCCACTGGCTGCTCCTATAGCAGACAGCACTAGTGGATTCCAGCACGTGACTCAGAATCTTTCTCAGTACAGAATCTCAGTAGGTGAAGTCACCCTGCCATCCTTGGGAGTGTTTCTATGGTGATGAGTCCTGGTTAAGTTAGCATCTGAGACTCTATCTGAAGTTGATTCTTAGAAAGAGAGCTGTATAAAAAGAATCTCTTGAAAATTTACCACCAGCGAGAGGCACAGCTATAGGGCCGTGGTGGTGGCCACGGCTCTGTCACAGCCGACAGGATTGCCCGCCAACTTCGGACGCTCCTGGGCCACAGCCCTGTCTGTAAATGCCATGCGATGCCTCTGCCTGGCAATTCCTGCAGCAAATGTTGACTCAGGAGGTCTGACTCCCCAGTTCTGGATCTCACGACTCAGCCCGGGTGTGTTAAGAAGGCGTCTCCACATGTTTCACAGCCACGCTGGGACCTAGAGTCATTAGCCTCATCCTCCCACTGGGGCAGAGCTTGGGGCCTCGGCGGACAGGAGGGGTGGCAGAGATCTCTGAATCCCCCAATGGAAACTGGCTTGTT